CCAGTCTACTTGTTCTGCCTCTAATCCTTTGATACATTGACGCATCTGGTGTCAAATCTCACTTCTTTCTCTACCTCCTGTCAATTACGCCAACACCAACTCACTTCACCAACTAAAGGGATAAGGAGCCCAGAAGGAGGCCTTAGGAAAAGTGAGGGAACTGAAAAGAGAACGCTTGATTGCCACCTCACCTCAGGAGCTATCCTTGGGTAACTGAACTTGTTGGAGAGCATCCCTGAGCATCACCATGGGCCTCCTTTTTAAGTCTGTCACTAAAGCCTCGTGGGGAGAGGACCTGGTGCTTGCTAGTCTGCATAGGACCTCTTCCGAGTGGCCAGCATTCACGATGTGCTTCAGAAGGAGATCACACATGGAGGGCAAACATAGAACTAATGCTCAACTCTTAATACAACATCAATTGAAGAGTTTCCTTGCTTTTGGTTGTTTAATTTTTTCTTAAAGATATACTCACTTCATGATCCAGGTTTTTTTTTTTTCAGGAAAACATAAATCAAGCAGGACATTAATATCCATTGAGTGTAATTCAGTATAAGGAGGGGTGGTCTAGCTGTATCACTGTGGAGACTTAAGAGTATTACTTACAGAATATGCATAAATAAGGCTCTTTCAAAAAGCTGATAGCCCACAATCCTCCCTTCAGGGTGTAAAACATTATTATTTGTGCCTTAAGAACACCTACAGAAAGAGTCAACAAAGAAACAGTCAACAAATGAATGCCATCAGGCACTTAGAGACAAACATCTCTTAAGAAAAACCCATTCTTGCCAAATTAAACAATAACCCAAACCCTTGGCTTTTAAACATGGACGGAAAGAATGAAGACTCATACCCATTTTTCTTTCTTTTATGACATCACTCTGGCACCTGCTTTCGTAAGGAAGTTAAGAACATAATGTATTGTTTTTTTTTCCTTTTAAGATTTTATTTATTCATTTGAGAGAGAAAGAGAGAGAGAGAGAGAGAGAGAGAGAGAGAGCATGAGCGGGGGGAGGGGCACATGGAGAGGGAGAAACAGATTCCCCGCTAAGCAGGGAGCCTGAGTCTGAGACCAACATGGGGCTCCATTCCTGAGATCATGACTTGAGCTGAAGGCAGACGCTTAACGACTGAGCCACCCAGGTGCCCCAAGAACATAATGTATTGTACTAATTGTTACAAAGGTCTTAGAAAGAAGATTATCATGAAAAAATATTGAATTCGATATAAATACTGCTTGTTATAAAAATTCCTTGAAAGGTGAAAATGTATTCTGTTTTAACAGTGCTAAACATTAGAATGGATGCCTGGTCAACTATATATAAAAATTATCATTTTTTTAGAATTCAGTATATGCCTGATGGTACCTGACATTTTAGTTATGCTTTTCATACGGCAGAACGGTTTAATAATATTGGTCAGTATTATTGTTCTCTGCATGAGATTTTCACTAGCTCCTCCAAAGCTTGCTCAGCTGTTGGATAACAAATGGGAAAATATCACACCACAGGCAATATTTATCCATCCAACAGGCAAAACAAGAAAATGGAACCCAGGCCTAGAATCCTCCAGTGTTACTCAATCAAGGCGAATTATTTATTGTCTTCTGTCCAGAAGCCCCATGGGGCATGAAATATTGATTTAGGAATTTGCTGGGCATGAATGTCTGTGTGCTGTAACTCTGTTCTTTTATAGCGCTTAATATATGATAAATTGTTTCTGTGTATGCTGTGATAAGACTGAAGAACAAATTAAATCTGGCTATTTAATAAACATGAATTAATAACACTAGACTCTTTTTGTAATTACTAGCTTGGGGTCACTAAAGTTCACTCCAGGATGTGCAGGATTGCACAATGCATCATTCAGATGTGTGCCTAGCTCAGTCTCTTCCTTCATCTTATGACAACACGGTCTCTGCATGCCACACAAGCTGATTCCAATATTTCTGTAAGTGGGTTGTGGAGAGCCTGGGTGTTCTTCCTGCTTAACCTGGGGCTTTTCAAAGCCAGGACAATGGGGGCTCTAGGTATTGGGGAGGAGCTAAAGCTGGGCCCAGAGGAAGTTTGGGGTGTGAAGAAGAGCAGGAGTTCTTCATTATCTGAGCAGAAGAGTAAGAGTCTGGAGCAAGTGCAAAGAAAAAAAGAAACAAACCACGAACATAAAGAATGCAGTCATTTCATCAGCTAAAAATCCTTTGTTCTATACCATTCTACATGTCTATAAAATACACAATGTTAAAACTAGGGGTCACATAATAATGCATAGCATTAGTATCTGTTTGTTTCTTTGCTCTACTCATTTGGTACTCACCAAGTCAGATCAGCATAGCAGTTCCTAGCAAGTCTGAATGGGGTCATACTGCCTGGGTTCTAATCCAGCCTCTGCTACTTGCTAAGAATGTGATTTTACCTCCCTTAGCCTCAACTTCATCTTTAAAAGGAGGGTAACAAAAGAACTTCTCCTATAAGATTATTGCAAAGGAAAATAAGATACAGACACATAATAGATGATGAATATGTATATATGCATATATAAGTTCATATGTAATATATAATCTATTTTTATTTATACTTTATATTCACTTTAAACAGTGCCTGGCATACATCTAAATCAATAACGTTCAGTAGGATTATCAAATTTGCTGTTGTTTTGTAGTTTCTACTTAACTTTTCACATCTGTAGGCCTTGTCTTCCCTGCTGTCTACCTTTAAGCCCCCCGAGGGCTGGAAAGCAGTCTTATATTTTGTGGATGTGAAATGTGCTTTGTTGTCCCATCTTTTGGGTGTTCACCCCTCCTGTTTTCAGTCCTGGTTTAGTGGCAGGTGAACCAGGTCTGGCCAATCATAGCGCCAGAGGGAAGGTATGTGACTCAAGCTTGGATATGCAAGTCCTTACCAGAAAAAAGCTTACTGGTATCTGAGATGACTGTCTTTAAGGCTGCGTAAACCTGGAACACTGGGAGTGGCCATCTTTGCCTCCTCTGGAGAGATCCTGACTGAGTAGTGGAACAACATCGAGGAACACAGAGCCAATACATACAGAAATATGGCTTCTGAGGACATTGTTTGAGTTTCTAGATTCAATCTTGCCTCAGAGGAGTACTCTTTGGATCTTCTGATTTTATGAGGAAAAGATTGAGGAAATAGATTCTGTCTTTATTTAAATTGGTTTGTATTGTATTTGCTCCCAAATTATACTGTCTAATATATATTTTTCAAATCAACTTGGTATACGTTATCCTCTTTGATGCCACTGACCTTATATAAGCCCCTGTGCATAGAGGACAACCATATATATATTTATTGCATGTATGAATGAGTAAAAAAGTTTTAAAACTCTCAAAATTCATGAGCCCATTAATTAAATCTCCTGCACATTATCATACCATCCTAGGCAATTCAAGTTCAATTTTAAAATGTCTTGATAAAGGAAATTATTTTTTTAAAGATTTATTTATTTGAGAGAGAGACAGAAGGAGAGAGAGGAAGGGGCAGAGGGAGAGGGAGAGAGAATCTTAAGCAGACTCCTCACTGAGTGGGGAGCTTTACAGGGGGCTGGATCCCAGGACCTGAGATCATGACCTGAGCAGAAACCAAGAGTCAGATCCTTAATGGATTGCACCACCCAGGCGCCCCAGGAACAAATTCTTTTTTGTAGAGAAACACAGGATGTAGCCCCGAGGATCTTGTTGGATGAACTAGTTTGCCAGAAAAACGACTTGGGGAGACCAGAGATTTAGCATGGGAAGAACTGAGTTTCTCTTAGCATAACTACCTTCACGGTCCACTCAGTTCCTTAACCTCCTTTGGCACCATTTTTCATGCACAAAATGGGAAAAATAGTTATTTACCTTACAGGGGTGTTGTTAGGCTCAAAGGAGCTCACTCATTGATATGTGAGCTAAGAATGACACAAATATTTTTTGTTAATATTTTTTTCTCAGATAAACCTATTTCAATAGGTGGTGAACACTCACCTGACAAATCATGAACCTAAACGTGTTTAAAATGGTTTTTCTAGTCAAATGCACAACAGAAGGCACATTTTCAGAAGTATATATGTAAACATATGCTATTATTTCTGGGTCTGGGATGTGACCTTCGGGGAAATACTCAGTTTCGTCTTCTGTAAAAGGAAGGATTCCACCACCACGTTATCCCCAAGAACCCTTTAATTTTGCCATCTCAGGACTCCAGAGGACGCAATCGGTGCTCTGCTTAAGACACGGGTCCTGGCAGGCCCTTGGGCCATCCCTGCAGCTCAGTACCTGTGAGCCGCCACTCCCTGGGGTGTTTTTGGTGGGCGTGGCGACAAGCACCTGCTCCCTGGCTGTCCTTGAATCTTCCTCCAGTCGCCACATTTTAACCGTGTGGCTCAGCAGTCTCCCAGCTATTCCCTCAAGGGTGCTTTATGAGATCCGGTTTCAATTCCCTGGTGGGTAGCTCTCAGGTCCCGTTACAATTCCCTCGAGCTCAGCGTGTGTGCGGGAGGGACAGAGCCAGGGAGAGATCGAGTGAGGGGACTAGGCTCCCCGGCTCCAGTTACCCGCTGAAGGGCTCCCGCCCCGTGCCGCCGAGTAAGCGGCGGGGCCGGGGAGCGTCGCGGCCCCTTTAAGAGCCGGGCCCAGGTCGGCCCGGGGGCCGCGGGAGCCCAGAGCGCTGCGCGCCGCCGAAGAGTTGGGATCCGGCGCAAAAGTTTCCTCCCAACTCCGGCCCCGCGCGCTGCCGCCGCCGCCGCCGCCCACTCCAGCCCGGGGCCTGGGGCCGGCCCGGCCGCCGCCGCCGCCAGGGCAGGGCCAGGGCCGGGCCAGGGCCAGGGGGCAGGGCCAGGGCCGGAGCCGGGCCGGCAGTTTCGCTTTGGCGGGCTCGGAGCAGCCGCCTCGTTCGGGCCCGAGCCGGAGCCGGAGCCGGAGCAGCAGTAGGAGGAGCCCGGCCGCGGTGCCGCCGCGTGCCCGGTCACCAGCTACCTGGGAGGCAGCCCTTCGCGTTGCCGCCCCCTCCCCCGATTGTCGCCCGCCGCGAGGCCGCCGACGCCGGGCGGAGGGGCGCCGCCGCGAGCCCTGGGCCCTCAGGGGACGCCGGGGAAAAGCGCCCTGGGGCCCCGGACCCGCCCGTACCGGGCGTACCCGGGCATTAGGGGCTGTGCCCGCGGGGCCGGACACCTGTTCGGCCGGGCCCGGCGTGGGCACCGGGGGCCAGGATGAAAGTGACCGTGTGCTTCGGCAGGACAGGCATTGTGGTGCCCTGCAAGGAGGGCCAGCTGCGCGTCCGGGAACTCACGCAGCAGGCGCTGCAGCGGTACCTGAAGACCCGAGAGAAGGTGAGCGCCTCGGCGGGGGGTGGGGGGTGGGGCGCGCGGCTGCGGGGCGGGCTACCCGCGAGCGCACCGAGCCCGAGGCACCTGCCAGAGGCCCCGGGACCGGGTGGCGACGCCCAACGGACGCAGAGCGCCCAGGAGACTTTATTCGGCGCTACCTGTGCTCGCAACTTTTGTTTATTTGCTAATGTAAGTGACCTGGATGTCTGGGCGTTTGTGGGCCTTGCTTCTCAGAGGGTGATAGGAGGAAACGCTGCATGGGAGTCAGTTGAGGGCTGGCCACAAATGCACAATCTGGTGCCCTAATCCAAGCCCCCTGCCTCTGAATCTGGTTTTCAACAAGTTCCCAGGTGATTGGAATGACCCCTGAAATTTGAGAAGCACTGCTTTAGAAGGTGTTTGAGAGAACGTCCGCTTCTTAAGGGAGTAGTTGGAGGTGCTGCTTACTTCAGGTGTGAGTTTTGACCAGGGCTATGGCCCGCCCTACTTCTGTTCCTTGGAGTTAGAAAGTTGATTGGTGCTAGAAACAGACACTCGGAAGTTAGAACTGATGGGGCCCTTGGGGTTGAAATCTTGTGAGCAATTCTCCATCAGTGACTGGGGCGGGAACTTAGGTGGAAGGATGCTGTTTGCTTACACTAACCAGTCTACATTTTGAGTGTCTTTAGTTTAACGTCGCATATTCTATGAGTATTTACTAGTGTGTGCGTTGTGTCAGGCCCTGCGTGACTGTTGACGAGATTGTTCCCAGCCCTGTCCCTGAAATTAGAAACAAGTAAAAGTTAAGTGACTATTATTTTTAAGTGTGCATGCAGTGCATCTTCAGAAGGCCTGGCTAGACACTAGAATTCATAATGGGTGTTTGGGTGACATACTGGGACTCCGTGTTTTCTTCTGTGGGATCTTTAAATGAAGGCATTGAAGAGCACCTTTTTCTTTTTTGAATCTTCAAATGGAACATCATACCCCACATCCTCCTCAAAAAGGACAGGCCATAAACTCTTTTGTTAGAGGTCAGTGGCTCTCTTAATATTTGTTCTCATGCTGTGAGAACTGTAGACATGGCCTATAAAACTATGAGTATCTACTCCATTTTTCCCCATTGTTACAATAGTGTATGCTGTTTTGAATTGTGTAATTCAGTTAAAAACTGAGATTTGCACAAGTAACCAATTCTCCTTGGAACTGTATTTCCCTCTTGAAAGTAAGCTAAGGTTAATAGCAACAACATTATTCAGACAAATTATTAAAATAAATGTCTTTGAAGGACTATCTTAATGAGGTGATACTTATTTTTTACTAACTCAATATTAAAAATAATTTATGCTCTAGCATCTTGTATATTTAGAAGTTTAAATTACGTGGAGCTGTCCAAGTAATAGAAGTAAGCTACATACTTATAAATAACATGCAGGGGACTAGATGAAATTTAGTGCATTGTAATTTGATCTTAAAAGGTGTTAAAAAGCTATTGATATTCTGTACTGAAAGCATAATTTATAATATCACAGAACCTATAATGTAATTGTATTGATCAGTTTACTGTTATTACCAGATATTACATTTTCCTGTGTTTACATTTATATATTAGCGAATGTGACATTTAAAGGTCACCTGGCGTTTATAAATTCTCCCTCCCTTCTTTGGCTTTTAAAATCTCAATTTAATAAGTGGCAAGTGATATTTTCTCTTTCCCAAATCTCTTTCTCCCATAGTTTCATTTTAAATAGTATTGTAATCATAACAAGGCTTAACTAATATTAAATGGTATTCCTAATGGAACTAAAATGTCAAGAAATAATCTGTCAAATTCCATGCTTTCATCCATTGAATTTAGAAAATAATGGGAAAAAAACAGAAATGTCAAAATTCAATTTGAAAGGCAACTTGTCATAAATTCACTTTCCTTAAATCAGTGAGAGATTTAAAAGCCTTGCTTCCCTGGACAGCAAGGTTTTTAGCCCTGAACTCAGAAATCAAAACATAACAGTAACATGAATTGTGCTTACTCCATGCACGCGACGTTGTAGGAACTTTACTGCGTAAGTTAAATGACCTCATAAGGCAGGTACTAAGATTTTCTTTTTACAGATAGGGAAAAAAAAAGAGACACAGAGGTATGAGTGATATGTGGTAGAATTGAACCCAGGAACTGGGTCCTTACTCATAGGATCCTTACTCATAGTCCCCGCACAGCCCAGTAGGTTATTATGCAGTGGAATTTATCCATCTTATTTATTTTTTACAGTTTGTTTTAAAAAGACCATTCCATCTACAAACTGCTGTAATAACGTATCAACCTCAAGATGGCAATTTTGTTTCTTGCAGAGAGTTGTGACATGCACAAGTTTCTTTTGATTGTATCTTATACAGTATAGGTCTACATGTAATGGGGAGAAGTGTAAATTCTGAGCCTAATATTGCAGGATTTGCAAACCAAGTATGAAAAACATTTCTTAGTTCGATTACAAATGGAAAAATGGGCCAAATCTCTTAGATATTCAGGTCGAGAGTGCTATAAAGAAACAAATTTGGCGGGAACATGAATGTAAATTAAGCCCATTTCTTTTTGGGCCTTGAATCATTTAGATGGGAGAAGGGCAGATTTCAAAATTGAGGATAGAGTTGAGGGGTCTCTAGTTTGGAGGGTAAGTGAAGCCCAAGGAGGCCATTCTGGATTTTGTGGACAGCATCAGAGAAGTATCCACCCTCTGCTGAGAAGAAACAAAGACAACTGGTATTTGGGGAATGTGAGGAACCAGCTGAATCAGCATCAGATAAGGCAGAAGTAGGTAAGGATGCTGAAGACACTGAAGGAACTTTTGGGAAGGCTTTAATTATGTTCTGAAATCTGGGACTTTGAGTTTCCTGGCGCCTCCCCCCTCCCCGCCGTTCACTGAATTTTACCGGGAAGGTGGAATTGACCAAGGGGTAAGAATTGCGGGGTTGCTTGCCTTTGGATCCTGGTAGTTTATCAGTGTCCCAAGCTCTAAATCTAATTTGCTTAAGTAGTTAGTGGAGAGGAGATTGTCTTCTTAAGTAGTCAAGGTGGGGATCATTGGATAACTAGTTAAATTTATCATCAAAATTACGTGTCACAGGTGAACGGTAATTGAACCGTATCCTGCAGGGGCTCTCAACCCTGGCTGAACATTAGTTATCTCTAATTTATCATTTAATATTTTAAATAATACAAATGCCTACATCTCCAGGATTCTAATTCAGCAGGTTTGGAGTGGAGCCTGGGCATCGGTGTTTTAAAAAGGTGATTTTAATGCCCAGCCAGGGCTGAGAACTACTGATCAATTACCTAAATCATTTGGTATCACTGAACTCATTTGATTTTAAACTCTTTTGATGGCAGATACTGTATTTTAGACCTCTCCAGACCAACCTGTCCTTAGCAATCGTCCCTCTTACCATGAATGAATTCTCACAGCAGGTGTTCAAATAATTTATTAAATTGAACATTCATTTATATATATATTTCATACACACATACACAAACACACACACTAGATGAGGTCAAAGTGAATAAGGGAAAAGCTTGTTTAGTAATGAGAATATATAGTGTGTGGAGTCAAAATGAATGAGATAATACGAATATTGAGTTCATGGGATAGTGGGTATGCTGGAATTTTAAGCAGATTTGTGGATTTGACTGTGAGAATACTTTTTTTTTGAAGAAACATTTGATAGACTTGCCTAAATGAATCTCTTCTGTGTTCAGAGATTTTGAATAATTTGTTTTACCATTGAGACCGGCTTCTCAAATCTGAGCAAGATAAGAGTAATAATTCCATTTTCTGAAAAATTGTGGGGTCCGCATCTAAAAATTTGTATGGCAACAAGAATCTGGCATGTTACTGTATGGGCCTAACCTGGAGGAATAGGCTAGAAATCCTAAATTCTTGAAGTCTTCAGTTTTTGATGTTTTGTTTCCAGATTTTAAGGTTCCTGTATACATAAGCTAGGACCAGACTGGATTCCCGAAATGCTTTTCAATTTATTGGACACGGACTTACTCGAGTGCTTCATTTTCTATTCAGTCCTCTCCTAGTGTGTGGACTACATGCTCTTCCCAGTGTGTGGATAAGACTGACTCACCACCAGCAGGGCACATGCTGCTAGCTTGGTTTTGGTTCTGCTACTTGACTTGCATAGAAGAGTCTCTGAGTTTGCAGATGCAGGGCTAGTGGGGCCTGCTGTGACCCACAGACATATTTTTTCAGTTCTGCTCAGTATCACATTTTTTTTTTAATTTTAAAAGATTTTATTTATTTATTTGTCAGAGAGAGAGAGAGCAAAGCAGGGGGAGTGGCAGGCAGAGGGAGAGGCATGTTCCCCGCTCTCCACTCCATTATTGCCTCACCAACAGTATGTTACTACCTCATACTTAACTTCTTACTCTGTTATTTCCTTATTTATGGCCCATTGTTGTTCTCTGGCTTGCTGTAGGCATTTGGGTTTGTGGTCCCTGGACCTTTTCTTCCCCATTACACCCCTTTCTCTTTCCTCCTATACCTCTCTCTGTTCCCCACACCTCCCTGTTGCCCCCCCATGCCCCTTTCTCTCTCACCCACCACCTCCAGGCTCCCCCCCTCCTGTGACCTACATATAGCATTTGCTGACCGGAGTTGGGGCTGCTGTTTCGTTCCTCTGAGCTAGGTGAATTGCCTCATGTGCAATTGGGAGTCACAGCACTGGATTTGTAGTTTGGAGACTGTGCTCAAGTGGCTTAGTTAACCAAGTATTTATCCTCATTCCCAGGGCATTCTGTGTCACAGATCCTCTTTGAGGAAGTTGGGCAAATGATCATGTCAGATTTTCATGAGACTATGTTTTCTGAAGAGATTGGTCATGAAAATCATCTGAGGTGTCTATTAATAATGCAGAGCTTTGGGTCTCTCTTGGAAAATGTAAAGCACTACAGTCCAGTAGAACTTTTGTGATAATGGAAGTGTTCTGTGTCTCTTATTTTCCAATAGGGTGGACTGTGGCCA